CGTGGGACAGGGTTCTGCAGTCTCTGGACACTGGAGGATCTTGAGATGGGCTAGAATTTATGTTAAAAGGGGGCCAGCATGATTTTCCCCAGTGCCTGCTCCTTGAGGTCTCTCCTTTCACATCAAGAGCTGGTGTCACTGTTGCTGAATGGCCAGTCCATGGAGATCTTCCTACGTGGTGGAGCCAGGGAACCTGAGAAGGCAGGTGTGGGGCCCTCAGTGTTCCAGAACGTAGGACATTCATCACCCATGGGAAGGGGTTTGGCAGCAGCATGTCCTTGGTTGGACAAAGCAGCCTGAGGTGGCCAACTCTGCAGGAGGCCTTCTGCAGACAAGTATAAATACAACCCCAAAGGTGCCCACACTCCCCCCACATATGTCTGTGAACAACCCGTCCCCAGAATATCAAGGACTTGGGGTCCTGCCACCCACACAGGGAGACCTGGATTGAATTCCCTGCTCCTGACTCTGGCCTCAGTCCAGCCAGGCAGTTGCACACATTCAAGGACTGAAACAGAGGGTGGCAGGACTCTCTGTGTCTCTCTCTATCAAGCAAAGTTTGTCTGTGATGGAGCAGTGGTTTACTAGCCTAAGCATTCACCTGCAATGCCGGCATCCTACGTGGACAGCTGTTCGAGTCCTGGTTGCTCCTCCTCTGATCCAGCTCTCTGCTATGGCCTGGGAAAGCAGTGGAAGATGGTCCAAGTCCTTGGGCTCCTGCACTCATGTGGGAGACACAGAGAAAACTACTGGTTTATGGCTTCAGATCGGCCCAGCTCTGGCCATGGTTTCCAACTGGGAAGTGAACCAGTGAATGGAAGGCCTTCTCTCTGTCTCTGCCTCTCCATGATAATTCTCTTTGGTTCAAACTCTGGCAGCTGGGCCCAGGAGGGTGGCAGCATTATCCCAAACATTTCTGGAGCCTCTACTGCTGGTCAGTGCAGTGTCCCACAGCCTCTGTCTTGCCTGTCAGCCTGGGGGAACAGATGCAGGAGCCCTGATTATCTTGGAATCCCCTTCAGGGTCACCTTCATTCTTCTGGACAAAAGCTGCATATTGTCAACTGACGCACTGCATTACTCCGTCCTTTCCATCCAGGAAGGCCGTCAGCCGGCTTTCATTTCAACACCATTCCCCTCACCCTTGCTTAAACCTGCAGATTCTGTCCATGTCATACAAGCATCTTTTTCAAGGCACAGTCTAGCCACACCCTGGTGTTCTCTTCCAGAACACATTTCATTTGTTGTAATATGGATAGACCCAACTTTCCAAATCTTCAAATTCTAGTTTCTTTTTGTTCAGAATTCCCAGAAATTAAATTCTCTTTTTGGACGTTACTATAAAGAGTCAGATGGCCATTGGCCAGTGCTGTGACGTAGAACCCTAAGTTCCCACCTGCAGTGTCGGCATCATGTATAAGCACCAGTTGAAGTCCAAGCTGCTCCACTTCTTATCCAACTCCATGCTAAGGTGCCTGGAAATTAGGCAGAAGTTGGCCCACCTGCTTAGGCCCCCACACACATCTGGAAGGAGCTCCTGGCTCCTGGCTCCTGGCTTTCCTGACCCTTCCCTAGCTATTGAGGATTGACCCAGCAGATAAAAATCTCTTTCCCAGTATGTCTGTATCTCTCCCTTTCAAATAAATTCTTTTGAAACACTGCCAGAAGCAAGCCCCTGAATTAGTGCTTTGCTGAGAATTCACCTCCATTTAATATCCGGTTTCATTCCTGGCAAGTTCTACCTTCTACAAAACATGCCAGAAACCAAGTTCCCTGCCTCTTACAAACAAGGTTCACCTTGTTCCTGGTCTTCCATCACATCTATTCCTCATTTCCACTGCAGACCTCACCAGAATCCCCATGCCCATCCATAGCTCAGTGTGCATCTGAAAACACCTCCAGTGGGGACCTGTTCCCCAGGGGCAAAGCTGCCTCTGTCCTTGCAGGAATTCATTAGACCTGCACCTCAAGTCTCAGGACGCTAATCTGTGTCTGGTGAGACCCTGCAAGGACTTATGGAATATGGACAGTTGTCCATGAAGCTCTGTGTCAGATGGGGTCTGGGATCACTTGCAGGCACTAAAGTCGCCGTTGCTAACGTCCTGTACATGAATGTGGTAGCATTTGCATTGGACCAAATATTCTCCCAAATGTTTTCAGTTGTCCCTAGAGATCTTATAATACCTAAAGAGGCTATGATGTAAACAGTATACTGTGTGTAGAATAATTCAAGAGGAAAAAGATGGTATATGGACAGTACAGATGCATTCTTTTTCAATTTTCAAAATCACTGCTAATGGAATCTGCACTTGTGGTCCCATGGATCCCAAGGGCATCACGGGATAAGGCACTGTGTCCTATGGTCATGTAGGCTAGGAAGTCCCAAGACCTGCTGGCAGATGGCTGGCCTTCCAGGAGACACACTTGGATTCTGGCCTGGAGTCCAAAGTGCAGGAATGGAAATATTCAAGGCAGCCAGGAGGTTTTCCTGGAATTTGCAGGCATTTGGGGAGTGAACCAGTACATGGAAGGTATTTCTCTCTCTCTCTCCACCCCAGCACTACCACCTCCCTCTCCCCTTTTTCCCACTGTTCATCCTCTGCCTCTGCACTGTAATGCTGCTTTTCAATGAACTTTTTTTTTTTTTTAAAGAAGGCAGGTGCTGACATTGTGGGACCATGGGTAAAGCCATCAATATGACAGCGGCATCCATGTCAGAGTGCCTGGTTCAAGACCCAGCTGCTTCCAAGCCATATTTCCTGCAGTAATGGGAGGCAGCAGATGGCTCAAGTTATTGGATTCCTTACTTCAGCCTTGTTTAGCCATGGCTGCCTCAGGCATTTGAGACATGAATCAGATGGAACATCTCTGTGTTTTTCATTCTCTCTAGCTCTCCCTCTCTCTTATGTTTGCCTTGCAGATAAATAAATAAATCTCTATAAAAATTGGTAAACTTGGTTCTGGCACTGTGGTATAGTGGGCTACTCCTCCACCTACAGTGCCTGCTTCCCACGTGGACTCTGGTTCAAGACCCAACTGTTCCTCTTCTGATCCGGCTCTCTGCTATAGCTTGAGAAAAACAATCTATTTCATATATAAATATATATATATATATATATATATATATATATATATATATATAAAGAGAGAGAGAGAGAGAGATACAAGGGTAAAAATCAGCACACCCAATATGAGATGTAATGTATTATAACGCTGAAATTAAAAAATCCAAGTGATAGAGAAAAGAATTCAGTGGTATGGGCTAACACGATATTTGCAATAACATTCCATGTTGGGGTGAGAATGCCTTTGAACTACAGAATGCCAGGACCCAGTCTTCAGGAAGAATTCTATCAGAAATCTAGTATGAAACTTGAATACAATCATTGACACAGGCATGAATGGTTAATGCATGGTAAAATTGTTAAAGGAAGGCCATTTTCAAACAGGGTGTTTATACATCTTCCAAGCAGCACTCTCCGAAGTTTTTTATTTCAACTCTGAAATTTTATTATCCAAAGTGTATGATTTTTACAGAACAAAAGTAAAAGCAGGTATCAAAATCAGCAAAGAGTTTGTAAGATTTCTGCAGAGAGTTTCACCTAAGTCAGGGATGGTGAGAGTGGTATCCAAGGTAAAACCTGGATGACTGCTGATTTGTCTCTTGGCATAAATTACTAGGTGGTTTGTTCTGGAGGTGCTGAATAACTTCTCACCATCACTGGTCAGTTGTTGAGAACCAATTCGAGTTGTCAAACAAAGCAAAAAAAATTTTTACTTTTTTTTGTTGCATTGTGGCATTTTACTGAAGCGGCATTTATTTTGTTTCTTCTTAGTAATTTCTTTTTGTTTTGAAAATTTTTCATCTCTTTTAGCATTTTCTCATTTAGAAAGATAACTAACTGAAATGGCATGGTACGTTGTTTCCTTAGTATTGCTTTTTTTGTTTAAGTTTTAAATATTTGCAAAGTTGTTAAATTTTACTTATTTGTCATTTTCTCCATTAAATGAAACAGTGAATAGGAATGACATTTTATACTTGTTCTGAATAACTGTTTTTCTCTTTTGTCATTTGTAAAGTATAATCATTTTTAAAATTAAAATTTTTTAGCATTTTTGTATTTACAAAAACACTGACCTGAAATGGAATTTTATTTTTATTTGCTGAGTTTAACGTTTTAAAAAAATTTTAATTTATATATATTTCTAACTTTTTCCTATTTAAAAAGTTACTAAAATGAAGTGGCATTTTAATTTTCCTATTAGTATTTTCCTATTTTTTTGTTTTTTATTGTTTTTAAAATTTTTAAATTTTTTAATTTAATTTTTTCAGTATTTTACTTTCAAAAACACTTAAATGATATTTTTTCTAAATTTTTCTTTTTAAGTTTTTTAACAGTTTTTAAATTTTTAATTTTTTTAATCTTTTTCCTTTTAAGAAAAACAATGCAGTACCATTTTTCTTTCCTATTTTTACTTTAAAATTTTTTTTACTTTTTAAATTTTTAATTTTTTTTGGAATTTTTCTTTTTAAAAACACTTAACTAAAACAGAGAACACATATTGGGATCTGAATCAAAATTTTTAATATTCCACTTGCACTCCAGGACACTGGAGACACTTATGGGCCTGGACAGCGATATCTTAATGACAAGGTGTAGATTTTAGGATGCCCACGATGTGCTGACAGGATGTCTAAGGCAGCTGTTACACTGAGAGGAGGCACACTCAGGTGGAAACATAATTCTCTCCCTAGGATCCCAATTTGCATGAAAGGAAAACAATTGTCTTTATCACAGGCATGACAGACAGTGGAAGTAGGAATGGTAGCTGTGAGAAACAGGTCCACCCCAGGGCAGCGGTGCCATTGGCTCGGTATGTTCTTTGACCAGGAACACCTACTAAGCAGCGGGCATCCAGAATCTGTGAGGACCCGGTTTTCCATGACAGGGTTGGGGGCAGGCATATGGCCCCTGCTCGTCCTGCAGCTGCCTCAGGCCGGCAGGAACATGGCCTTGCAGTTTGCTGGGGCTCTGGATGCCTTGGCCCACGTCCTGCAGCAGGAGCCCCCAGTTCTCCTGCAACACTGAGTGGAGTTGGCAGGACCAGCAGCTCTAAGAGACGAGTGTCCTCGTGCTGAGGTCCTGCCCGCATCTGCCCTGCCTGACTCTGGGTGTGGAGAGAGGAATGTTCAGAGAGGTGTCCGGTTCTTGATGCAGGCTCAGTCCACCTCACCCACCTGTCCTCTCCTGGCCACACTGCTGCATTCATCACCATGAACTTGCTGTAATCATGCCCATCCACGGCCACCTCCTGGGTTGATGACCGGACCTCCGCCAGGGCCGCTGCTCACTCCCTTTTTGCTCAGGCTCTGAGGGGTCACCCTCTCCACAGTTGTTAGGAACATGTGGAAGGAGCCCATCTTTAGGATGTACAGATCAACAAACAGCTTTCGCCAACTGACCGATGCCAGGGTCAGGGGACGTGATGGGCACACAAGATGTTCTCTGCCTCCTGCGGGGATGTTGGGAGAAGCACACAGCATCCCCTGCATCGGGTGCTTGGCCAAAGAGTGAGGCTGAGTGTAAAACTGAGGAAAGCACCAGAGATCTCAGGATGCAGACCCCGAGCCGGACACCTGGCCTGCGCCTTCACACAGTCAGCGTTCCCATCAGGGAAGACAGCAGAAGGGGGAGATGGTTGGGGTTCAAAAGGAGGAAAGAGACCCTTCCTGTCCTTTGGAGCCCCAGAGTCTCTTCCTCCTGCTGTCCTCTATGCGGAACGCTGGCTGTGTGAAGGAGGCAGGCCAGCTGTCTGGGTCAGGCTCCTCATCCTCGGAGTCCGATCCTCTCCTCTGCTCACATGCAGCCTTGTGCGCAGGAGCACTGTGTCTCTGACACTGCCCTCACCGAGCTTGCCCCATCCGAAGGCAGTGTGTGCCCAGGGTCCTGTGCTGCTTGCTTCCAGCTCCTCCTGACCTCAGATCTCTGCAGGAGGCAGTTGGAGAGGAGCCAGGTGGTGTTCTCTCTAGAGCAGCTGTGCAGTCAGGCCTGGGTCTCCTTCGGTGTTCACTCAGATTGGAGGTGGGAGACTGTGCCAGCTCTCAGGGAAGCAGCCTAGTGGATAAAAATAGCCGAGGGCAGTTCATGGTGGTGAAACTGCATTCTTGGTGTTCTGGTTGCTGCTGAAGTGGAGCTCCTGTGGTAGATGTTTGGAAGAGGTGGGGTGTTACAATCAGCAATACTGTTCTGTACTTCCAACTGTATTTGGGATCTGAAAGAGGGAGAGAAGAAAAATCAAAGGAGAGCTGGGTCAGGTCCAGGTGAGAGCTGCGCCTGCATCTGGGCCTCAGTGGGGCAGAGGCCGGGCAAACTCAATTCCAGTGGGGAGACTGGCTGAAGGGGGAGCCCTGGGCTGCTGAGAGGGAAGCAGCAGCCAAATGAGCAGAGTCCTGCCCTGAACTCCAGCCCAGCTCTGCAGTGCTGGGGAACCAGGGCCCTTGACCTCTCCTAACCAGGAGTGAGTGATGTCACCCCACGTCCTCCTGCTCTAGTTGCATTAGAAATGGATTCGTTTTCTGCAGTAAGCAAAGAGAGCCGGGAGTGTAACCACAGCACAACTCATGTCAATAGAACAGACACCAAGTTTCTCTGAAGAGGATTCCACATCTAGTTACACCTAGGACCATTCTGCTGTGTGCCTAATAGCTCACTCGCTCAACTCTGAAGGCAACATTAACTTTAAAACAGGCACTCTTTTGTCACCCTAGAGTTTCCCCATTTCTTTTTCATTTCCCCTAAGAAATTTTCTTTTTGAGAATATCCTGTTTGTATCCCGGTCAGAGGGAAGGACAAACATGGGAGAATGAGACCTAAGAATCTGCATTGGAAATTGGCCTAGGAATAAAATCAGATAAAATGTGATTGTTCAATGTATATTTCTCAACCCAATAGAGAGAGGACTTGCAATCAAGTGAGTGGATGGTGAACAGCATGTTTTAGGGAGACAAGTTCAACTTTAAACATTCAACTTGATTATGAGGGGAGGGATCCTATTTGGTGGGTCAGGTTTCTACATGACAAGGATTTCTTACTGTATCTTCTATTTCAAGTTATTGATCCAAACAGAGAGGTTACAGCTCTACCCTATCTGAACAAACAGAAATGAGCTATCATCTGTGCGCAGTATAAGAAGGAATAAGTACATCTCACACACACACAGGATTACCTCTGTCTAGGCGTGAAGGCCCAGGAATCTGAATGCCATTGCCCACGTGTTGGTCTGTGGTTTTCCCTTCATCTCCCGGCCAGGGAGTCTCCATGCGAGGTGGCACTCCATGGGCTGTGGTTTCCCCTTCGTCTTCTGGCCAGGGAATCAGCACGCAATTTTACTAACTGTGGGCTGTGGTTTGCCCTTCATCTCCAGGCCAGGGAACCTGCAGGCCAGTTCCCATTTCCTGGGCTTCCATTTTCCTTTGATCACATTTTCTTTTGGGGAACTTGGGACATCACTGGGGCTGATGCTATGACTCCCACACATGCTGGTGATGGCATCTTTGTGAGGACCTCCCTCCAGCGGGGAACGGGTCTTCCTCTCAGGGGCAGCAACAAAACTCAGTTCTGAAATAGAACCACAGCCATCAGGATTGGTATTCATGCTCTCTCTCTGGCAGTCAGGCCTGCAGCAGAGGGACAACAAGTAAGGCAAGGGGCCCTGGACAGTCATGTCCGAAGTGTGGGAGATGACATCTGCACAGACACTAAAATGTTTTCAGTCGGGTTGATTTTATACATGTTCACTGATAATTTATCACTAGGCAAAAGCAATAAACATGGCTCAGATGATCACAATAGTCAACAAAGTAGAACTAATAAAACACACAGCTCTGAAGCTTTTAAGGCACAGAACCACACTGGCTCTCTGCTGAAGGTTTGGGGGGATGGAGCAGGATCACCAAACCTGGAGGGCATTGTCATGAGAGACAAGGACAGGGGAACACTGACAGCTGGAATGAACAACACTAGCACAAGAACACATGCATTCATACTTGCACATGCTTTGCTGAACATACACCAAGCACATCGATGCATAGGATACATGCCCCCAGTGCATGTCATATAGACATTAATACATATGATGTGACCATCACTTTTCTGGTCAGGTGAAGTGGGAACCTAGTTACAGGCACCTGAAGAGTGGAGAGACAAGCTAAGGTGAAGCACAAAAGTCAGGAGGAAATCCCAGGTGGGAGGGAAGGCATTCCTTTGGCCTAGCACACACATCTCCCTCCTGAGACAGTGTCTGTGCACTTGCCTTCCTCCCCATGACTGCCCAGCCCTGCACTGGGTGTTTCTGAGACAAAGCCACACAACCACTGGTCTGTGGCAAAGCCAAGTGCAAGGCCTCATTGAGACCCTGAGTGCAAAAAGCCCAAGGTGAGAGACCAGGAACTTCAGGCCATGGGGGACTCCTGAGCTGGAGTTCTATCTGCAGCACCTAAGGTTTCCTCCGTTTGATGACTATGAACAAACTCCACCCAAAAGCCACATCCAGACTGAGATAAGTCCCCAGGGCCTGAGTGCACAGTGGTCTGTCTCACCCAACACAGGTGCAGCAACCCAAGAATACAGAGGCCACCTGGCAGACCAGTGGAGTGTTCCCGTTCACAATGGAGCACTCACTGTCTACAACAAGAGCAGAGCAGACAGGCTGTTTCTCCAGGGAGGACCAGGTGCTCCTAGAATGGGACCAGTCAGAAGTTTCCAGAAGAAGTGCAGGAGTCAAACACGTACCGTGAGAGTCTTGTGAGACATCTTGATCTTCAATCTCTGGGATCTCCCTGATGAGACTGGAGGGAGGGAAAGGTGGGTGAGAAACAGAAAGGGAACAGAAAGCCCCTCTCCAAGCTGTTCCTAAGAGGAGGCTTCCAGAAGTGGCTGGGCTGAGCAATGCACCACCCACAACTGTGTCCCTATCTGGGGAAGACTGGCTACTAATTCCCTAGTAGTCCATGCCACACTGTCTGCTCTGTCTCCAAGTTACCTGGAAGTGTATGTGGCATTTTGCTCTTGTACCTCCACTTCGTGGTATTGATTTTCTGCAAACAAATTCAGAGAGATTCACCGTGTTAAGCAGGTTTTGGGTCAGATATGGGTATCCAATGGCCACTACTACCAAGGGGACAGATTGTTCTCATGTGACAACAGGAGACTGTGACAGAAATCCTCCAGGAGGACTAAGTCCACATCAGGAGATGGGCTTGGGGAGCCATCCTGGGCAAGGGGTCAAATCTCCCTGTTCACAGTGGATCACCATCTCAATAACCTCTGTCCAGAACCCTTAGAAACAGCCTGCAATGGTCCTCAGGGATTCTAAGCTCACAGCCCAAGAACTTTCTAGGAGGCACACTGCAGTCGTCTGGCTGCTCTCACTAAAGGACCCAGGTTGCTGACTGTGGAGAGGAGGTAGAACACTGGGAGAGAGCTATGCATGGAGTCTGCGTGCCCTGGAATGGAAACCTGTTTGATGCCACACAGAAGCTTGGCTATTCTAAGAGTTGCTTATGAATAATCTCCCTCTTGTCTATGGGAACAATACAAGCAATTCAAGAGCATGTATTTCTGGATGAACTCTTCCCTAGTCAATTCATCTTCAAATGGAAATGCCATGGAGAACATGAATGACAGAGATGCCTATATGGATGCTGTGGCCTGGACAAGCATGGATCAAAGGGCAGAGCTGAGGTTTGGGATGGAATAAAAAGGAAGCAAGTGGCAACAGTCATCCTCCAAGGTTCCAACCAGGAGGGAGCACACGCCACCTGGGCACATGATGCTGAGCTTGCTGTGAAATGGTCACCACTCTGTTCCATAACAAATAAACAACAATGAATTCTACTCCTCTTACAGCTCAATTCAGGATTTTGAGTCTACAACTACAAGTCTGTAGGTTTGGCATGTAGCAATGACCACTCCTCCTCAGTGGGGATAGGAGTACAAGGACAGAGCAGTCACCAGGGACAGACATGAAGGTTTACCTACTCTCCAAAGTGATCATTCTGCACATAAACTGCCAACCAAACTGCTCTGGCTTTATGAGCATAAGCAGCTCCTGGATGCTTGCAGTCAGACATCCCAGGCCCAACTGGAGCCTAGAAATGTTCATCCAGGGAACTCTGTTCTGTGAAACAGCAACCATTTTTGACAGAAATGGAGATGGGTATGACTCACTGGGACCCTGAGTGCAAAAAACTCGAGGTGAGAGACCAGGAACTTTCAGGCCATGGGGCACACCTGAGCTGGAGTTCTATCTGGAGCACCTCAAAGAGGTGCTGAACCTGCTCAGGGACAAAGCACACCAACGTCTTCCTAGTGGGAGATGTTGTGCAGGGCCTTTAGAAGTTCTTGTTTGCAGACTGAACTTTTCTACTGATATTTGAAATTCTCTCAACACAATTTCTTACAGAGGAAAAGTTTTAAGTATGAATACCCATAGCAGCCACATCGCTGGCATGTCTGCTGAAAACAAGTGGACTGAACCCACAGACAAGGGGAGGCAAAGGAGTGGTCTATGATTGCAATGCACACAAGGTGGGGTGACCTGGGAGAGTGACCTTGTGGAGCCTCAGGATCCTCTCCCCAAGGTGGGGACAGAATCTCCACCGGGAGAGGTCCTGTGAGGATTGCATGGATCAGGACAGCACATGGTCTAGCACAGCACAGATGTCTGTGAGAGTGGCCTTCATAGCTGTGTGTGAATCGCTGTGACCTGGGATGACTCTGCACATCTCTGTACCTCTGTACAGAGGACAAGCACATGGTCTCACCAAGAAAAGGTGCCTGCTGCTCTATAGCACTGGGGGACAACTGACGTTGCCAATTCTACTGCAGAACATTGAGAAACAGGGAAGGGCATCAGGATTTCATGATTTTCCTACAGAATGATTTGATGAGTGAAGGTGCCTCAAACCCTAAAGATTCCTCCTGAGAGAAAGTGTAAAACCTCATCGAAGCTCACATTCAAGGAAATTGGACTTTGTCTCTGCCCCCACATAGGAAGCAATACTCCAGGGCTCCTACTCAACAAGAGACACTCTGCCTGTGATGACATGAGGGGAACCTCAGCCTCACTCAGATAGTAAATAGACTCCTGTCCTGGTGCAAGATTATGGAGGCTTTGCATGAGAAGAAAATGCCACATCTAGACACTGGATTAAAACTACAGACCTCATATGAGCACACATCAGTGCTGTTAAGCAGACGATGAGAACCACACCAGGGACACAGGTGTGGGACTGGACTGCTGTGCTCAGCACCAAGCTGCTTCAGAGAAAACAGAGTCTGCCGACCAAGGGTACCGAGTATCAGATAACTAAGGAAACACTGTACAGACTGCCAAAGCTTTAAGCCTGAGAATTTTGGAGGATGCAGTTTACAATGGCAACTGTTGTTAAAATTAAGAACATCACAGTGACTTGTTAAAGAAGCCTCTCCAAGACAGATGGTGTTGGTAGGTGTTTGCCATCATGCCTTCCCATCCCCTCCTTCCCTGTCTTGACGTCAAAAGCTGCACCTTGAAAGTGGGCCTGGTGACAGCCAAGGGTTTCCCCCATTTGATGACTATGAACAAACTCCACCCAAAAGCCACATCCAGACTGAGATAAGTCCCCAGGGCCTGAGTGCACAGTGGTCTGTCTCACCCAACACAGGTGCAGCAACCCAAGAATACAGAGGCCACCTGGCAGACCAGTGGAGTGTTCCCGTTCACAATGGAGCACTCACTGTCTACAACAAGAGCAGAGCAGACAGGCTGTTTCTCCAGTGAGGACCAGGTGCTCCTAGAATGGGACCAGTCAGAAGCTTCCAGAAGAAGTGCAGGAGTCAAACACGTACCGTGAGAGTCTTGTGAGACATCTTGATCTTCAATCTCTGGGATCTCCCTGATGAGACTGGAGGGAGGGAAAGGTGGGTGAGAAACAGAAAGGGAACAGAAAGCCCTTTCCAAGCTGTTCCTAAGAGGAGGCCTCCAGAAGTGGCTGGGCTGAGCAATGGCCACCCACAACTGTGTCCCTATCTGGGGAAGACTGGCTACTAACGGTGCAGACAGGATGCAATGTCTTCCATTTGAGGAGGTTCCTTGCTGAACCACCTGGAGTAGACGACCTGAACGTTATCACAGGGCAGCTTTCATGTGAGGAAAAATGAAGTGCTCATATGAAGCACGTGGCAAACAGAAAGCAAGGTAAAACAGAAACCCCACTGCCTTCACTGAGAATAGTATGTGTGAGTAGATATATAATATTTACACATGAATCAACTACAGCCAAATATTAAATGTTATGGAATCTATGTGTGCTGGTAATCTTCTTTATGCTTATTTGTACTGCTTCAAGTCATTTTAAAGTAAACAGGTAAACAGAACTCAAATCTTCTTGAAGAAAGAGTATGCGGTTTTAGGTGATAGGTGAGTAGCAGAGATAGTGAAAGGGCTTGGAGACAGAAGCAGAGAGAAACAGAGGATTTCCTCTGTGGTGAGGTCATTAGGGACTCAGCCTGGAGAAATGACTCTCAGTTGGTCCACTAGTACCCCTGAGTATTTGGACAATGAAAACTGGCTTCAACAGATTTATGTAAATTACATGCAGAGTCAATGAATTCCCCTTTTGGGATACTGGGGACTATCACGGCTTTAGCTGTCAGTCTTATTCTCAGTGCTGAGGCACTAGTTTCTGTCAGGTGGTTTCACATGATTAAAGGGGTGCAGAGAAGCTCATGAGAAGAGGAGGCCTGTGAGCAGCACCCTGCCCTTCACTGCATGCCAGAGAGGCAATGATGGCAAGGAATCCCTGGAGAGGCTCCTTCATGGAGTCAGCCTGCTGCAGGTCACTACGTGGAAAAGGTAGGGAGAAGTGGAAACCCGGACTAGTACCCTAACGATGGCAGACAGCAGTGCTGACGGGGTGCTGCAGGGTTGGCTCCATGGATGGGAGATGCACAGTGGCACTGCTCTTCTTCTCTGGACCTGGAGTCTGCCCGTGTCCGCACTAAGCTCACTGCCCAGGGTTCCTAAGACTCACCTGCAGTGTGACAGGGCTTGTGCTTCCCCTTGCACTTCATCATTGTCATTTTCCTTTTCTGCAAATGAATTCAAATAGGCACAGTCACCTAGGATGATCCCTCAAAGCCTGTACAATGCGCTGTCCAGCGCTGCCACAGCACACCAGTAGCCTCAGTGTCACTGCCGACTCCTCAGATAGGAATTGTCTAGAGGGTTGAGGTCATTTCTGAGGGAACTAGCTTGTTCATTTTTCTTGACACATGAGGTAAACCTCCCTATTCCTCCAGTCATCACATCAATAATCGCTGACCTGATTCCCTACACAAATGAAACAAATTTTCCCAAGTGTGGGTGCTGTGGCATAGCAGGTAAGGCTGCTGCCTTTAACCCCAGGATCCCATGTCAATGCCGGTTCAAGTCCTGGCTTTCTACTTCTGATCCAGATCCCGCTAATGCACCTGGGAATGCAGTAGAAGATGGTCCAGTACTTGTGCCCTGCACCCACATAGGAGACCTGGAGGAAACTCCTAGTTCCTCCCTGGGCCTGGTCCAGTCGATGCCATTGTGGCCATGTGGGGAGCAGACCACAGTATGCAAGAGTTGCCTCTCTCTCACGCTCGCTCTTTCTCTCTCCCTGTTTCTCTCTCTAATTCTGCCTTTTATAAGGTGAAATCCAATCTAAAATAATATTCTCTGGAGACGCTTGGTTCCTAGTGTGATTCCTTTCCATGAGAGGAAGTGCACTGCCCATGGGTCTCCAACAAGCTCTCTTGGTAGTTTGTGGTTTACCATATTTTGTACATTGAGGATAAGATAAAAGGTGGCACAGGTGAAGTTTCAGTTCTGGGTATCAGAGTGAATGTGTGCAGCACAAGAGAAAACTTGGCTACTCATGGAACCTCTAAGCACAGGTCTCAGACTTGCAGCCTGGGGACACACTACTAAAGGAATGGCAAAACATTCTGTATGTGTGGTAGGTGAAATGATGCCAACTTTGAAGGGACAGCTACGTGGTTGGGTTCAATGAAACAGGGGGAGTATCTTGACTGCAATGGAGACGAGCATGCTGCTGGCTCTGACAGGAAACAATGTCACATGACAGGGATGGGGAATGACTCGTGTGATCACCACTGCAGGGGGCAGAGGGGTCTGCTTCCTTAGGAACGGATGGTAGAGACAAGCATGAGATGTGCTGCTTAGGTTGGTGTGCATCTGTCACATTCTTCTGGCAATGACTGAGCACTGGAATCTGAGTGACAAAGCCACACAAGGAATGGGAAGACAGCAAGGCTGGATGGGTCAACCACACCTGTGCAACAGACTGGTTGAAGAAGAACAGATGATGAGAATGTCTCAGACCATCCCATGTCCAGAAGCCCTCTCAGTCAGGTGGGAGTGATGAGTGCAAGGATAGTGCGGGATCCTGGGCAAGCAGAGGGGGTTGTATCACCTCACAGTGGGGGACTCACCGTCTGCATCTGGAGCAGACAGCACGTCCTGATGCTCCGGGAAGCACCAGCTGCTCCACGTGGAATGGTCAAGCTCAGAAACGACTGGAGAAATCGAGGGAGTGAGGTAGCACTCGTCCAGCGGGTCGTCTGGGTCTTCCCGCTCTTGCTCCTCTGGGAGCTCCCTGCTGAGATGGGAGGGCAGAGACACTGAAGACACACATCACAGGTACAGAAGGGACTTTGTCATCAGACTACAGGTTAAAATATGTGAGGGATTTTCAAAGACGGAATATAGAGGGAAACAATACAAAAAGGAATATTATAAACAGAGCCATTTCATCACTGGCTGAATGTTTCAAATGGCTCTAGTCACCAGTTTCTCCAGCATTTTGATTCCCTAGTAGTCCATGCTACACTGTCTGCTCTGCCTCCAAGTTACCTGGAAGTGTATGAGACATTTTGCTCTTGTACCTCCACGTCGTGGTATTGATTTTCTGCAAACAAATTCAGAGAGATTCACCAGGTTAAGCAGGTTTTGGGTCAGATATGGGTATCCAATGGCCACTACTACCAAGGGAACTGATTGTTCTTGTGTGAGAACAGGAGACTGAGGGAAATCCTCCAGGAGGACTAAGTAAACATCAGGAGATGGGCTTGGGGAGCCATCCTGCACAAGCAGTCAAATCTCCCTGTTCACAGTTGGATCACCATCTCAATAACCTCTGTCCAGAACCCTTAGAAACAGCCTGCAATGGTCCTCAGGGATTCTAAGCTCACAGCCCAAGAACTTTCTAGGAGGCACACTGTAGTCGTCCGGCTGCTCTCTAAAGGACCCAGGTTGCTGACTGTGGAGAGGAGGTAGAACACTGGGAGAGAGCTATGCATGGAGTCTGCATGCCCTGGAATGGACACCTGTTTGATGCCACATGGAAGCTTGGCTATTCTAAGAGTTGCTCATGAATAATCTCCCTCTTGTCTATGGGAACAATACAAGCAATTCAAGAGCTCTCTCCCCAGGCCCTTTAGGATTTATTTATCTAAAATCTAGGAGTGTTGCTATAGTACTGACTCATCCTATCAGACTGATCATGGTGAAGAAGGGTGGAGGAGTTTCTATAGAAGGCTGAATGAACTCCAGAACACCTCGCATAAATAAATCCATGCTGTTATAGAGAAACATTGAACATTGACTTTGTAGGGATATTGTTGGATTCAGCTATGTTTTTGGAACTGTACAGGAAGTACAGTAAAAGACACTTTATGTCCTGGTTTTGAGATGATTGCATAGCTAAGATAAGCTGTCTTAAAGGAGATAGAGACTAGGGATGGAAGTCGGGAAGCTAGGATCACAACTTGGCCCACACATGGGAAGTGTTACCAAAAGCCTGCATGGGGCTAGAACTCCAGGGATGCAGTAGTAGCACAGAATGATATCACTGCAGGTGACAGCAGGCATTATTTCTAAGTTAGAGGGTCTGAAAGGCACTCACTACACAGGGCCTACGTATGTTCCCACAGGCTAGGGTGCAGTGAGACAAACAGCATCTGAGGGGAGGGAAGCTCCTTGACTCTCCTGATGTCTATGTTCAGTGCCACAACCTGGACCTGATGGAAACCAACTTGTGTCTGCAGGGCCTGTGCTCAAAAGCAACCCTCAACCTGAGAGTCCCTGTGTACAAAGAAGGGAGAGGCTACCTGGGAGAACGGTGACAGGTTCTTCTTTCTTGTGTGAACAAGCGTGTTCCCCATCTACACCTGGCACACTGTGGGTGACCTCAGCATCAGGAGACATTTGCACAGTGCCCTCAGGCAGGCAGGAGTCACTGGGCAGGTGGTCAGCAACACCAGTGGTAGATGTTTCCTGCTGTGAACTTGGTGGGGTTTCCATCTCATCCACTTCCAAGAGCTCCCTGAGAAGCCAGGTGGGATAAGGATGACAGAGATTAAACCAAGAAGGAAGAGACACCAGGGAGTTGGCTGGTTTGGATGGGGTGCATAAGGGATCGGTCATAGACAGCATAGAGGTGGTTCCCTCCACTCTGGACACCGCGTTGCTGCCTAGGGTGAGAGGGCCTGGGAAGAGATCAGCCTCTGCTCATCACACTCCATACACAGCAGCTAATGACAAAGCAGCCTCCACTGTCACTGCATGGTACAGTCACAGCACAAGCACACATTGACAGCTGCGCGGGCTGACACCCTGTGCTCAGGTTGGGTTGTTGCAGTGTCCTGCAGCCATGTGATCAAGGTCCTAGGGGCTTGGCAGATTCTAGAGATGTGCTACCTTCTGGGCCTTCTCTTAACCAAGTCACAGCACAGAAACATGGTTTTGTACTGGTGCTTTTCTGCAGCTGAACTTGGCTGGATTCTTCCTAACTGATCCCTTTGCACATTGCCTCTTTGCTAGTTTTCTCTGGTGAGAACTTCAGCTAACTCTGTAGAAAGCAGATGGGCATCTTCCTCGGCTTTTCCAGAGAGCAGAGAACAGGGGTTCCCTTTGTGTGCAGGCAACACCGAAGGCTGTGAGTTCATGATGGATCCTATCAGCAACTAGGAGCAGGACAACAGACAACTACTTTAACAGGGGGATTTCCTAGTTGGCAAGGAAGGACTCAACACAATCTGCAGTTGTGTTTATGTGTGTGTCTCAACTCCATGACTGTCTCGGCCCCTTTTCTGTTCTTTAGGAGACCCTGTGCATCCTTCACCCATTTGTTGCCAGCTCTTAATCATTCACTATTACCTGTCAGCAACAGGTCCTTGTGCTGGTGTTTCCTCCTCTTCAATGTTTTCTGTAAACAAATTCAGAAATGTCCAATCAGATAATATCACCGCCCCCATTACAATGAAGGTGGCCTCTGTGTGCATATGAATATCTACATATGGGCCAATAGTGGACAAAAACTTCAAATGTTCTGTGTTTAAAGAAACGCCTTGCCATTCTCTTGTGGTCCATCAGGCTTCATGTCTCTGCACTTGGAGGTCAGAATCGTGGCAGATTCTGCCTGAAACTAGGCCAACATCCTTTGCTCCCATATCACTGGAAGCTACTCAAGCTTCCCTGGGACTTCTGCCTGTTATCCCTCATCTGGCCACTAGTGGGAGACCAAGGCATGGGTTCTACATTCCCATGGGTCTCACAGAGAACCTCCATCTGTCATGAAGAAGCAAAGAACCCGACTTCCATCCCTCCCTCACAGGCCCTCCAAGTTTTCTCTGGCTGTATCATTAGAGGAAATTCTCTCTGTGTTATGAGTTCCCTTCTCAACAGCTTTCCTCACTTAAGTTCTACTCACTCTAGTGCCTGGTCTGACACTCCCAGGGAGAGGAGGGAGGGCCTTTGTCCTATTGGGAAACATACAAGCAACAGCTTCCACCTTTGATGGTTACATCTGCTCTGCCTCAGATTTTTTGGTCCATCTAGTGAATGAGGAGAGAGAAATCCTGGATGGAGAAAGCAATCACCTGTCTACCACTTGAAAACCACACTGAGCACAGAGCTGGAGGCTTCCATTCAACTTAGCTCAGTGACTTTGTTCAGCCTAACAGCGGCCACACTTCACAAGGTCTTTCTGGTCTTCATATGAGGATGGACACTGCCTCTTGCCCCAAAGGCCAACCCCAATCAGGAAGGGAGGAGACCTTTGGGATACTGCAAACTTGAAAGACTTCTCTGCCCCTATCTGTGTTTCCCAGGCAGTCCTGGCCTTGTCATGGCACACATGTTCAGTAGCAAGAAATGCTGAAGCAATGCCCATGGCAGAGGGATGAATGCATCTGAACTGTGAGGCTTCTCAAATGACAGCCTGTGCCCAGCTCACCTGCTCCAAGCAGGTCCTCAAGGCACGCTGACAGCCGGACAGCCTCAGTGAGCAGTCGTCGGAAGCCCTGCCCCTTACAGGTCTCAGGGTCATGCACGGTGAGCACATCCTTCAGGTACTGCTGCAGGGTGTGGGCTAGATTGCGCCCCCTTTGGACCTTTGGACGTAACTGGGAAAGTTCTTGGTCCTGATCTTCAAGGATGCCACGGCAATGCCTAAGGTGCAAGAGTGGAGAAAGTTCTAGATGGGAAGGGATGAGTGCTAAGTTCTCTGTGTTTCAACAGATTTTCATAACAATGCCTTATAGAGCCCTCAACCAGCAGCACCACTCAGGTTTGGAGAAGTACCTGTGCCGAGAAAAGCAAAGGGCAAAACAAGGCCTTGCTCCCACTTTTAGAGAAAGATCTTGTCACAATTCCTGAGGTTCCATTCGGTCATGTTCTATCAGAAGTGCAAGGATTCTTCCTTCCTCACCTTCATAAAGGTGCTAATTCAGTTCCTCCTTCCAGCCACAGGCATTTCCATGTAGGAAGACACACAGTGTACAGTGCAGTGACTGGGAATCATGGTGCACGCAGGGGTTACATGGCAAGAAACAAGAATGAAGGTCTGGCAGGGCCAAGCTAAGCATCAGTCTTCTACATCAGGAGGTGATGGTGAGTAAGGGTAAATGAGGATTGATTGCAAGATGACCAAACAGAGGAGCCCAGCATGCCCTCCACCTCCCCTGAGAAGACCCAATGCAGCTCCATCTCGAGGTGAGTGCCCACAGAAAAGCACCTCCACACTAAGGGAACCATGAGAACACGGGAGGAAGAGAGAACAGGCATAGCACCACCTACAGAGGACCAAAGCTAACTGGTGACTGGATTCCCAGAAACACAGCCACGGGGATCTCCTGTTGCAGAAGAGAGAGTAAACAGGAGGGCCCCCTGGGAGCCCATCCAGCTGGACACCTTACTTACAGACTCTCCGCACTTGCAGCTCTGAATTCAGATTCCTCTGCTCCCTCCTTGTTTCATAACATCTGAGACACGGGGCTTTGCTGTAACTCTCTGCCCTTGTTTGGCACAGGCTGGCTCAGTTTTTGATTTGGGCTCCCACTAGTGAAACACATCCCCACCTGCCTGCCCTACACAGAGAGCCTCACCTGAGCAGCTCAGCAGACCTCGGCTGCTTTGCCAGGGGCTCTCCACGTGTAGCTTCTTGGTCAACATGGACTCCATGATGTCTTTTTTTATTATTATTATCTATTCATACCATTTTATTTGGGAAATAAACAGTAATTGAGGAAGGAAAAATGTATTTTCATTTTAATTTCTCCTGAAGGGAGAATTTTTTCAAAGTACCTATTCACTTTTACTTTCATTGTAAAATGAATTTTTACCATTTCTTTTAAAAAATTTATTCATTCATTTATTTTAAGGAATATACATTTCATAATACAGCTTTAGGTATATAGTTATTCTTCTCCCCATACCCAGGGTACCACCCACACTCCCAGCCCAGCTCCTCTTCCCTCTCTACTTCTCAATCTCATTCTCCATTACGATGCATTTTCAATGAACTTTGGACACAGAAGACCAACTCTATATTGAGTAACGATTTCAACAATTCCCACAAACACACCCACACAAGAATAAAAACTGGTTGAGAAATGTTGCACTGTAACTCTCTTTTAATACAACTCATGGAGGACAGAGGTCCTGCATGGGGAGTCAGTGCACAGTGACTCCTGCTGTTAATTTAACAAGTAGCACTCCTCTGTATGTTGTCAGGGACCACACAAGGCTCATGACATGAGCTGACTAGGCTATGGAAGCATTTTGAAAACTCTGTCCGTATTTAGACAAGGCCATCAGCAAAGTGGAAGTTCTTTCCTCCTCCCTTAGAGAAAAGTGCATCCTCCTGTGATGGCCACTTCTTTGTCTGGGGTCCCACAGTGATCCCACATGGAGAACATTGTTTGCCACAGTGCCTTGGCTTTCCATGCCTGAGATGCCTCAGTTCTCCCTTCTGAGCTGCCCCACTGGAGACACCCACACCCCTCCCCACCTGCCTGCCCCACACAGAGACCCTTACCTGAGCAGCTCTGGGACCGTGGGCTTCTCTGCCAGCGGCTCCTCAAAGTGGAGCTTCTTGGTCAGTATGGACTCAATGATGTTTTTAAACTTCTCACAATCTGGGGAAAGACAGACACGCAGAATTCAGGGAGCTGCTTTTGTAGTCAGTGCCTGCTGAAGACCAAAAGAACTCCAGGGCCAGGCTCCAGATTGGGGGTTTCACATCTTTATTTCATCACCTCAATACATAGCATCTGATATTTCCTTATTTAAAAGATTTATTTATTTATTTATTTATTTGAAAGGGAGAGTTTCAGAGAGACAGGAAGAGAGAGAGAGAGAGAGAGAGAGAGACTCCATCAGCTGGTTCACTGCCCAAATGACTGCAAGGTTGAAGCTTCACCAATCTGAAACCAGGAGCCAAGAGCTGTTTCTAGGTCTCCCATATGGATGCTGGGGCCTAAGCATGTGAGTTATCTTCTACTGCTTTTTAGGCCATAGCAGAGAGTTGGATTGGTAGTGGACCAGCCAGAATTGAACTAGTACTCATATCGGATGCCAGCACAGCAGGCAGTGGCTTTACCTGCCAACCCACAGTGCTGGCCCTGCTCTTTCCCAATAAAATGAGAAAAAAGGACTTCAAAGATACAGAAAGTGACTTGACACGGTGATGCCACCGGTGTTTACAGAATCAGAATTCCCAGCCCCTGAGCTCAGACTGAATCATGAGCCACTGGACTCAGCAAGCCTTGCAGCCTCTCAGGTCAAACACAAACCTGGGGAATGAAGTCGTCACCTTTTTGTATGATTAGGAGCTTGATAAGGGTGTAGGACTGTTTCCTCACATTGGGAAAGATTTCAAGTGTATGTTATTTCAGACTTAAAGGACCACCTTTCATGGAACTGTGTAGAATACAATGTATAACAAAGTAAGGCCTGAGGCAATATGGCCCAATAGAAAGTATAGTTCCTGCTAAATTGGAAACAGTACAATGTGGCCTCATGGATTCTGTTGGTCCTGAGCAAGGAACCATCCTTGGAGTTGTATAGGAAAGAAGGAGCGCATTTGGTTGTGACAATCTACAGAGGCAGGAGTTATGATAGCACCTATGAGTGGAAGAGAAATCAAAGTCACAGAGAAGGTGGGCAATGGGGGGGCACCCAGGCGAGTGGCCCTGATCCCCACCCTACACCCTGTGCTTGCTCCCACTCCCAGGTCTCAGGCACCGACTTCCTCTTCTGGAAGAAGAACTTGTGCTCCAGGAGCAGGACTTTGCTCTCAGCGGGGAGGCTGTGTCCTGAGGGTGTTCCCATGGATACCAGAGTTCCAGTGCACAGGAGACTGTCTCTCTAGAAGCACATCCTGCTCACTCTGAACACATGTCCACTTCTGGACCTAGGGCAGTGCTTTGCCAATGGGAACTCAACGGAGGCTTGAATTGAGTGAAATGTGTTAGCCCCAGAAATGAGGCCCACAGGGTTGGTATAAGGCTGCAGGAGCTGACACAGACAGGATGATCATAAACATGCACTCAGTATGGTAGAGCCTGACCCTGAGGACAACAGGCAGCTTTATGCCTCATCAGGAATCCATGCCAGATTCAGCACTCCTGTCACCCTACACCTCACTGCTAACTTGGAAACCTTGTGAAACCCTGTGTGTCAGCTTGGGAGTGTGGTCAGGAGGAAATTAAGTGCAGCAAAAAGAAGACAAAAATCACGTAGTGAGGCCATCTGGTGCCTCAGGAGGAGATACAGGACAATCATCACTGTGGTGAAATGACCCGAGAGACTTACTGTATTTTTTCAGCTCCTTGGCCAGGGCAAAGTTTGTAGCCTCAGCTATGAGAAACTTCTCCTTGAGCTCCCAGTAGTCCTGTTGGCTCTTTGCCAGCTGGGATTGCAATTGCTGGCACTCGAGGTCGTTCAGTTCTGCCACGGGATCTGATGCAGGGCTGTGGGATCCTGCCATGCTGATGGTGTGTCACAGCAGGACAACAGGGGCTGGGGAGAGGAAACCCAAACACAGGCGAGGGTCAAACAAATGACATCCAAGAGTTTCAGGTAGGCTTGAGGGGTGACAATAACTGTCCAGCTTCACTTACTGATGTGAAACACCTGATCCACAGCCCGACAACACTGGGAAGTTCTTCACTGCACAAACAAGGATAAGACTGCCAAAGCCTAGATTGAAGGCACTGCCTGTAGCTCAGTCTCTGCTAGGACTGGCTGTTGTGTGGCAGCTAACGGTCTGCCGTTGCCATCACAGAATTAGAAGGTGGAGGGCGTCACGGAATCTTTGGAACTCTGCCTTCCAGGGGCCTAAGCTAGGTTGAGGCACAAGACCCCCACTGGTGGGGACAACCTACCCATCTGCCAGTCTTATAGTTATAGATCCTGCACTGATACCACACACTGTGTCCCCAAATCACCTAAGCATGTATCGCTCGTATAGTCATGTATGTGTATGAAAATACCAAGGCAGAAAATGTGTCCCAACAAGCCTTCCTTTCTCAGGGCTGTTAGGAAGTCACCCCACCTGCTGTTTAAAGAGATCTCAAGGCTTTTCTACTTGTTTGAAATGGTGAATTTTAAGCTTCCCTGATAAATGGGTCATTTTATTATCTTAGAAAGGAATTTTGAGAGCTCTTTTAGTTTTCTGGATAGAATTGTTATATTAGATATGCAATTTCAAAAAGTTTCTCCCTATGTTGGCCTGTATATTCATCTTCTTATCAATGACTTTGAACAGAAAATTTGAACATATTAATTTGAACATATTTGAACATATGGAAATGAAAATGTTCTTTGTTTAATTATACTTATTTGAGATGTAAAGATAAAGATGTAGAGAGACATACACACAGAGAAACACAACCAAAACTATGTGTTACATTACTATTTCACTCCCCCAAAGCATGCAACAGTCAGGCTTGGCCAGGGTGACACTTGGTGTGCAGAACTCCAATTTGTTCTGCAAATGTATGGGAAGAACCTAATGCTTTTAATAATATATTTATATATAATTACTGCAACTAATTTTATAATGATGGCAAACTTATTTTGAGGAATATGGGTGTTACATATTTGAAGTAGTTTTTTAAATTAACTTCTTATTTAATATTGTATCTATGGCATAAATGCAATGTTAAGAACATAGTCCTTCTTCCCACCTACCTGCCCTCCCACCTATTCTCCCCCCCTTCCTCCTCCAACCCTCCTGTTTAGTCTGAGAAAGAAAAAAAGACAGAATGGAATAAGAAAACTAAGAGAACTGTTACTCAACAGCCTAGCAAAGGGCTGTCCAAGGTTGCTGCTTCTCAAAGGGGATTTCACTTTTTGCCCCCTTCTGCTATTCCCTTCCTTCTTCCCCCTTCTTTCCTTTTAGAAACTTAATTGTCTTCAAAGAAGAACCCACGGATGATACATCTGCTGTGAGCTCTTAGACAGAACTATAACCTATGAGACATAAGAATATCCTCCATTTAATGCACTAAAAAGAAGTGATTCGGGAGAACAGTTCTACTATTAGGTCCCTTGATACAGCTTTGAGGACAGAGGGCAGTGCACAGTGGCTCTCACTGTGTCTTTAACAAATCACACTCTTATGTCTGACCTCAGTGCTCACCCAGGGCACTTGTCATGAGCTGCCTCAGCTACAGAAGCCTTCTGGACCCACCTAGCTCGACAAGGCCATAAGCAAAGAGGAAGCTCTCTCCTCCCTTCAGGGAATGTGCATCCTTCTTTAGTGGACACTTCTTTCCACTTCAGTCTCACCCACAGGCATCCTATATGTAGGGCCTATATGTGAGCATTGCAAAAGCCACTTAATTGCTGAATGAAATGCCAGTCCCAAAAGCTGCACATTTTAAGATTTCCATTTGAGTGGATGATCAAAACTGGTTTTTGTTTTTTTTTTTTTTTTGAAATTTTAAATCTGATGTCTAAATAGATGTAGGAGTCTCCACTGTGGCATAGTGGGGTAAGCCACCACTTGAGACACTGGTCTCCTCTATGAGTGCTGGTGGAGTCCCAGCGGCTCCACTTTCAGCTGATCCAGCTCCCTGTTGAGGTGCCAGGGAAAGCAGTGGAACATGGCTTATGTCCTTGGCCCTTGAGCTCTTGTGAGATACCCAGATGGCATTTTGGGCTCCTGGCTTTGGCCTGGCTCAGCCCTGGTTGTTGTAGGCACTTGGGGAGTGAAACAGAAGATGCAAGGTCTCTCCCTCTCAGTGTGTGTGTGTTCCTCTCTGTCTGTAACTCTGCTTTTCAAATAGAATAATACATCTTTTAAAATAATTATTAAAATATTCAAAAATGATATTGTAATGTACATATCCATAGTGTAATGATTCCTCTAGACTAGTAAATAAAATATTCATCATCTCACAGTTAACCTTTATGTGCCTGCACATGGTAAGAACCCACAAAATCTACTGTTAGAAAATTCTCAGACTTTCTCATTCTAATGGAGAATAGCATGCTCCACTAATAACTCAGATTCTCATGCTTAACTTCAGAACCCTAGATTTAGTTCTTCTCTATAACTACCACTTTGTACTCTTGGGTCAACATTTCTCTATTCTTCCCACCAGACTGCACCACCTTGAAGACTTCTCTTATATTCTCTGTTTTGACATATTCAACAATTTTCCATTTTTTCTTTCAGACTCCACACATAACAGACTTCATGCAGTGTTATTATTTCTATATCTCATTTATTTCACTCACCATAATGTCCTCCAATTTCATCCAGTTTCTCACAAATGACAGGAGTTCCTTTATCTTTGAGTTGAACAGCATTCCATCATATAAATATATATTTAAGCATCATCATACATCTATCATGTATAATGTATTGTTACACATTATATGTATATAAATATCTATACACAGACATGTTAAGAATGATTCAAAAGCTTCAAGTGATTCCAAAGTGTCATGGAAATTCTGTAGTATCCTTTTATTAAAATATACTTTTCAAGCCATATATATGGACAGCAAGATTGCTTAACCAACCTTCTGTTGATGGACATTTAGGCAGTTTGCATCTTGGCCTCTGTGAATAAGGCATCGACTAGGGATTGCAGGTATATATCTGATACGGTTTTTTGTTTCTTCTTTTTTTGCACATATACCAATAAGGAGGATGAATGGGTCATTTGACAGTTCTAGTTTAACATTTCAAAAATACTTCAATAATGTTTTCTATAATGGCCATACCACTCAACATTCTCACACAAATGTAAAAGTGTTTCCTTTTTGGTACACCCTTGCCCACATTTATTCTCTCTTGTCTTTGTGAAAGCAGCTGACCATATGGTTCTGAGGGGATATCCCTCTGTGGTTTGGAATGGTGTTTCCCTGATGAGTACTGATAATGGGCAACTTGTCATAAACCTGGTAGCAATGCATATTCCTTTCATGGAGTAATGTCTACTCAGGTCCTTTGCCAATTTCTCAGATGAATGATTAATTATTTTGGCTACTGAGTTCTGTGAGTGCTTTCACACTATAGCACAGAGAAAGAAAAAGCCTTGTGAACAATGTACATAGGTCTTGGCCCCATGTGGGGATCATGGGGATCCTTACTTTGGGGCCGTGTGACTGCACCACTGCCATTTTATTGGATTGTGCAGTGTGTTGCATGGCAGAACTGAGCATGGCTGGGAAAATGTACCTAGCTGAAGAGGGCAGGAAGGGTGTGGTCTCTCTCTCTCTCTCTTTTTTTTTTTGGTGGCGACACTGAAGTTACCAGGATCTCTAGTTTGCATGGAAAGCTTTTGTTCAGCATAAGCCTGCTCTGATTCCATCCAGGGATCTCCCTGGCCAGGTGCACAGGTTCACTGTGGAGTCAGTTTCTCTCCTGACCTCAGTGCTCATGGAAGGTGGCTCCTTCAGGGGCTGGACAATGGAGTAGGCCTTTCTGAGTATCCCCTGAGGTTTCTGACACAATGTGTCCTTCATCTCACCCACACTTGGTTTCACCCTAACATTACCTTGTCATTCTCTGGGTCATTCTCACGTCCCAGAGAGCTGCTCATCTTCCTTCATCTGCACCTTCAGTTCTGGGTTCTCAGGATGTGGACTCAGTTCTGGATCTGGGAGGAGACACAGGAGGGACTAGGTCAGCTCTCAGCCTCAGTTCCCAGGGCACGTGTGGTTCCCCAGGGACTCCGAGGAACCTAAGCAGCAGGACCTCAGAGAGGAACAATGCACACTTTACCTCACTGATGAGGAACCTGGGGTCCATAGAGACTAAGAGGTTGTCTCAGCACCACAGCTGATGGAAGGAGAGCCACCCCATGAGCTTTGACCTCCAGCTTCCCTGTGCTGAGCATGGCTCTTGTCTTCCAAGAATGCATTGTTGGGTTTTGTAGACTTCAGATAAAGCACTGCTATTTCTGCTCCTAAAAACAAACAAACAAAGTATGAGGGTCATTCCTTGGACACAGCTTTTCCCACATTTCTATTGTCCCATTATGTATTCTCTGTCTGTTTTCAATCAATGGGTGATAGAATGGGAGCAGAGAATACATAAGGTGAATGAGTATTTAACACAGCCCTGCCTGTCCTGTGCGGTCCCTTACCTCTGGAATTCTCCCTCAGGTTTTCTCCTCTGCTGCAATGGTGGAGAGTGTCAGACCTCATGGAGGTCATTTCTGTATGGAGATCCATGTTCTTCTTTTTGTCTCCTGGAGTCAGAGAGAGTAGAGATTCATTCTGGACCTCTGTGGACCCAGCTTTTCTGCGAGGCAATGCTGCTAGTTTCAAAGATAAAAAATTAAAAACCACAATGACCAACAGAAATCAGGTCAATAAAGATTTTCCTGAGGTGCCTGAGATCGTGAGAACAGCCCCTGGTAGAATGTGGTCAGAGCCAAGCACGGGGCATTGGCAGACTGACTCAGGTAAGGTGTATGTGCAAAACAACCAAGAGAAGGCTGCTAACACCAGGAAGAAGACACACATCAGAGGAGTGTGAGAAGAAAAGACAAGTACTGGCTCAAATGAAGAAGGAAGTATCACAGGCTGAGACCCAGAGGCAAGGCCACACATCACAGAGGATTAGTCCTCAGCCTTGAAACCTATCCCAGGAAGTCCTGTTGGATTTGCCCATCTTAACTTGAAAACTTTTGGATTCATGACTTCCTTGTAGGCTCCATTTTTGCCCTTGCTGAATTAGAGTCACTGTCATTGTCACCCTATGTCCCCTGCAGATGGGGCAGATAAGCAGTGTGTTTAATGTCAGAGTAGCACAGATGGAATGGATCACACACAGCATCCACACGTAACAAACACCTCCAACTCACTCACATCCCCCTTCATGACCCAGGGAAATCCCACATTCCTGCTGTGAGGCCTCCACCTGACAGGGGAAGTGTTTCCATTCCTTATGTGTTCTGGATTAGTAATTCTTTATTAGCTACACAGTGTGGAATTCCAAAATCAATGGCCTTATTATATACTCAACCATCATGATGAGAATTGGTAAGTGCTATCTAATTCTATACAGATACAAAAAATTAAATACCTTGTGATAAGTTCAACCAGCATGTGAAAGTCCTCTTCAATGAAATTCAAACACATTGAATCTAATGAAAGAAAATGAAGCAGACACAAAATAATGGAATTCCCTCATATATTCTTGATTTGGAAGAATTAATATTATTAAAGTATCAAAACTACCCAAAACAATTTAGAGATTCAATGTAGTCTCCATCAAAATACTGATGACATCCTCACAGAATAAGAAAAAAATCTTAAAATTCTTATGAAAACACAAAAGGCTCTGAATACTCAAAATATTCTTAACACAATGAAGCCAAAGATGGAGGCACCACAGTTCAAAATTAAAGATATGCCACAAGGCTATTGAGACCAAAACAGTATGGTAGCAACATAGCAATAGACACATAGGACAATGGAAAAAAAGAGAACCCCTAGAAATTCACACACCTACATCCCTACACTTACTTTTGACAAAGATGTGGAAAACATTCCCTGGAGATATGCACATCTATTTTAATGGGACTGGGAAAATAGATTTTAATTTACAAAAATCAACTCAAAATGGATCATGATCTAAATGTAAGATCTGAAACTATGAAACTAACAGAAGAAAACAAGGAGCAAATGCTCTAAGAAATGGGCAGAGTCAACACAGTTTTTGGGCTAAGACCACAAGAACATGGACAATAAAAACCAATTGGAAAAATCTGATGTTATCAATCCAACAAATTTCTGCACAGGTAGAAATATTTTACCAGTTGGGTAAGTGCACCTGATGTTGTGACATCCAAAGAACTGAGGAATTTTCCTCCTTTGTTATACAGGGACATCATTTGGCCATTTGGAGAATGTGCTTCCCCTGTGAGTCACTCTGGTGCTAAGATCTGTCATTGATATTCAGTTTGATTCCTGGGTGACACAGCAGGACCAAAGAACACTGAAAGGATCAAGTAGTGATTGCAGTCAGACACAGAATGAGTTTCTGTGACCACCTCTAGACCATCAGGCACCTATGCCAGAAAAGGGTCTTCCTGAGACAGGAGCACTGTCTGCCTTGTGCAGTTCCTATCCCCAGAGCCTCTGCAAGTGACTTGGAATAAGGAGTCACTGCCACTATCAAGACACATGACAGAAAACCCACTGGAAAAAGAACATAGGGTACTCACAACAAAATGATGAAATTTCTAAAAATCAAGTTCTTACCCATCCCTTATCCATAATAACTGTGAATGTCCACAGACAACATTACCCAGTTACGAGATACAGACAGGATGACTGGATGAAAACCAAGACCCAACCACAAGTTGCCTACAAGAAACACACTAGTAAAGACAGAGACTGAAAGGGAAAGGATGGGAAAAGATGCTTCATGCTAATGGATATCAGATGTGAGCAAGAGTACCTATGGTTGGATCAGATAAAATAGGTTTGATGATAAAAACTGAAACAGAGATGATGGTTGCTATATGATTATCAAGGGTTTGATCCAACAAGAAGATGTGACAATGGTAAGTGCATACGAACCCATTGCTGCAGCACCCTAATTAATAAAACAAAATTATTACATCTAAAGGACACATGAATTCTAATGTAGTAATAGTGGGGGACTTCAACACTCACCTTTCTTCGACAGGAAGAGATCACCTGGAAAAAAATTAACAAACATCAGAGAGAAACTACTACAGACCAAATGGCCATAACAGATGAGTACAGATATTTCACTCCACAGCTGCAGAATACACCTTCTTTTCATCTGCACATGGAACATGGATGCTATAATACTAGAAATCAACAATGCAAGAACCCCCAAAGGTATGCAAATACATAAAGGCTGGATAAGAAACCAAGAGGGAAATTTCAAAATTCCATGAAACTAATTAAAATGGAAGCACAACACACTGAATCTACAGGAAATTCTAAAAGTAGTATGCAGAGGAAAGGTTATGGGATTAAGTTCCTACATCAAATAATTAGAAGGACTTCCAATAACCTAACAAAGTATCTCAAAAATCCTAGTAAAACAGGAGCAGACCAATCCCAAGTCAGTGGAAAGAAAGAATAAGGAAGCAGGCAGAAAGAAAGGAAAGAGCGACAGAGAAATGAGGGCCTCACACACAAAATCCAGAACACTGCAGGAACCCAACACTCAGTGTCGTCCACCATGCAAGACTTGTGTGCTCACACTGCTGTTGTCTGATTATCTCAGAACAGAGCAGTCATCCAATACAAGAGAACACAGACCATCCCATTGATCGCAGCCTTTCCAGGCCTATTGAGTGTAATCTGAGTTGATAAAATCTCACAATAAAGAGTTAAGTGCTGGTAAAAGTTAACAGAAGGTAACAGGGGCTGTCTAGTTTCTGCAAGGGGGTATAGAAAAGAACATTCTCATCAGTGGCTGTGAATGTGAATGGGAAAATCTTCTTGCCAGGCAATGGGGCCAGAACAGCACCATCAGGAATGTACCAGAACTTTGATCTTGCAATTCCCTTTACAGGATACAACCTGGAGAAGTATCTTCAAAATTAATAAGGGACATACCAAATATATGTAGATGGTGCTCCTTGAGACATTATTAATAATACTAAACATTTAAATCATTTGAGGAACATTAACTTATGTGAGTAGAATGGTCCATCACACCATGAACAGTTATCCATTGTCTAAGACAAGGAAGAAGAGTCTGAAAGAGCAGAGGGTGATGGACTGGTAAGAACTAATGTGACTGAGCAGTTACTGTGTGCTAGACACAGACAGGCCTCAATGCTTTGCCCCTACATCTCATTAAAATGTTTGCCAAGCCATGTAGAAAGTACTCCTACTTGTCCATTTCTTAGTGTCTTCTCTACCATGACTATTATGAAACACCAGTGAAAGAACCTGAAGCAGACACAAACACTAGAAAGACATTCATGTACACGGATTACAAGAATTAACATGATGAAAATGTCTACTCTATCCAATGCAATTTACAAATTCAAGGCAATCCCCACAAAAATAGGAAGCACATTATTCATATGACCAGAAGAAGCACCTAAGAATTTATGTGGAAAAAGCAGAAAAGACACAGGTGTTGTTTTCACCCTATTGGAAGAGGGATCCTTCCCACACATCCCTGCAATCTCATTAATGTGAGCACGGGGTTCAGGCAGGATTTCTCCACATCTGATTTAAAGTAGAAGGAGATGGGGCCCGGCTATGGCTTTGTAGGGGAAGCCTCTGTCAGTCGGGCCAGGATCCCGTGTGGGAGCCGGTTCATGTCCCAGCTGCTGCTCTTGCAATTCAGCTCTCTGCTTATCGCTTAGGAGAGCAGTGGAAGATGGCCCAAGGGCTTGGGCCCCTGCACCCATGTGGGAGGCCCGGATAAATCCTGGCTTCAGATCAGCCCAGAGGAAGGCATTGAGGCCATTTCGGTGGTGAACCAGCAGATGGAAGCCCTTTTTTCTGTCTATCCCTCTCTCTGTAGTGATAACCCTCAAATAAATAAATAAATCACACACACACACACACACACACACACACACACACAAAACAAGTAGAGAGGATAAGGATGGAGAGAACAGGTGCAGAACAAACTGAATGACTCAAACCCCGGGGAGGAGCTGGCTTGGGCCCAGCAACCTTTCAGGGAAGAGATGAGTGAACTAGTGTGGCCCACGGGAAAAGACACTGCCCTGGTTCTTCTTCTTTTAATAATTATTATATTTTATTTGAAAGACAGAGTTACAGAGAGAGGTCGAGCCTGAGAGAGAGAGAGAGAGGTCTTTGGTTCACTCCCCAAATGACAACAATGGCCAGAGCTGAGCTGATCCAAAGTCAGGAGCCAGGAGCTTCTGCCAAGTCTCCCACACCAGGGCAGAGGCCCAAGGACTAGGGCCGTCTTTGGTTGCTTCCCAGGGACACAGCAGAGAGCTGCAGAGCCAGTGGAGCAGCCCCCATGGAGGTCGGGGCTACAGGCTGGGGCTCTAACCTGCTGTGCCACCTGGCTGCTGGACCCTGCCCTTCTGTGCACGCCCTGTCCCCCCCACGCTGCAGCTCCTGGGCTCCTCTCCTTAGTGTGACTGCGCCAGCTCCAGAGCCTCTGAGCCCAAGACAGTGCGGGATGACCCGCAGCCACCTTAACCTCACTTCCTTAACTGCACTTTAACCCTCAGAGACTTCTGCCTGCAACAAAGTTATACACTACAAGCCCCCATGCAGGAGGCAAGGCCTCCTCTCTCTAAGAGAAAAGACAGCAGGATTCTAGCTCCTGGAGTCTGCTAAGTTTCAAGTCAGTTTCTCGGCACAGCACCGGAAACGCCGTGGGCCCGGCCTGTGCTGTGTCCTGGTGGGCTAAGCCTCCGCCTGCAGGGCCGGCTTCCCCCATGGGCGCTGGTTCCTGTCCCGGCTGCTCCTCTTCCCTTCTGGCTCTCTCCTAATGGGCTGGGGAAGCCATGCAAGATGGCCCGAGGGCTTGGGGCCTGCTCCTGCCTGGGAGACCCCTTGTAGTGGCCATCTGGAGAGCGAACCAGAGCATGGAAGACCTTTCTCTCTGCCTCTCCCCTCTCTGTAATTCTCTCTCTCCCATGAATAAACACCACAGTAAGAAGGAAAGGCCTGGAGTTACAAACAGCAGGAGGCTGTGGTCCCGGAGAGCGCCCCCTGCCGCCCGGGCTCCGCAGCCCCGCGGCCTCCTCCAGGGGGGCCGGCCCTTCCCGCCCTCCCGGGAGCTGTGGGCGCGGCTCCCGCAATCCTCCTCCCGAGGAAGCGTGTCCTGGAGCCTGGGTGTGGTGCCCGTCCTCCTGGAACCTTGTCCTTGGCGCGGGGGCAGCCCCCGTGCCGGGGTTCCCTGCCTTCTCCCCTAACTCCGGGTCCGAAAGTCGGCCCCTCAAATAGCCACACCCGTGTACCGGTCC